TTTAGCTAGTCTTTTGACTCATTAAGGCTTTGGCTAGCCATTTGATACAGTTAGCATTTAGCTCATCTTTTGCTATATTTAGCTTTCAACTAGATTTTTTTGCAACAATAGCCTTTTGCAGCTTTTAGCTAGACTTGTGCTGCAATAAGGTAGCATTTTGTTAATTTTAACTAGCCTTTTGATACACATAGCTCTTAGATAGCCTTTTATCATATTTAGTTATGTTAGCATTTTGGTACATTTAGCTTTTAGCTAGACAATTGCAATGTTTAACTTTCAACTAGCTTTTGCTGCTTTTAGCTAGCCTTGTACTGCACGAAGCTAGCCTTTTATTAATTTTAGCTAACTTTTAACTAGCCTTTGGCTACACTTAGCTCTTAGATAGCTTTGCCTCACTTAGCTATTTGCTAACAGTTTGGTACATTTAACTTTTAGGCTTTTGCTATATTTATTGTTCAACAACTAGCTTCAGGTGACATTTAGCTAGCCTTTTGCTACTTTTAATTAGCCTTCTTAGCTATTAGATAGCATTTTGTCTAATTAGCATTTTTGAACATTTAGCTTTTAGCTAGATTTTTGCTATATTGAGCTTAGCTTTTCGCTAAATTTATTTTTTTGCTGCTTTTAGCTAGTGTCTTGTTAATTTCAGCTAGCCTTTAGCTATTTTTATTTTTTAGATAGTATTTTTGTCTCCGTTAGCTTTTGCTAGCATTTTGCTTTATTTTAAAGTAGCATTTTTCTTTTTAGCTTCTAGTGCTATTTTTTATTATTATTTTTTTTTTTTTAGCTTTAACAACTCTGGTTCAGTGTTTAAAAACTGCTATTTTGCAGAAAATGCTGTTTTTCTGGTTTGTGTTTAAAATCTGTTGTCACTTTAATTAAAAAGATTGAATAAACATAAAACTACTAAAATAGCTTCAAAGTATTTTACTTTGTTCTACATTTTACTGAAGGAAAAAACTATTATTTGGCTCTGATTTAGCTAAATTTCAACATAATTTGCTCTGGCTCTTAAAATAAAGAAGTTTATTTATTATCTGCTGGACACTAATCGAGCTCCATACTTGAGTCACAAATCAAAGATCATCACTGTTCACCCACCCGAACTCCAGATGTCCGCCGGGGAGCTGGTGTGTTCCTCTGCCCACGGAGCTCCTCCGTTTCCCCATGAGGACACAACCTGGGTGGGCCGAGTCCGTTACCAGCACCCCGACCCCGACCCCTGGACGTTTAATGGCTTTGTCAGTCATCTCAACGACTTATTTCTTGCTGACGCCGCGCGGCTACTAGCAAGTCAAGATGATTCCCTCCCCTGTACTTCCGTGTTTGCCCAAAAAGGCGGGTGAAAAACGAAACCGTCTGTTGTGGCCTATTTTTATATCCCCAAAAAGATATTTTTACCCCTTTAAAATTACTAACAATATTATGTTTTAGAAATAAGAAGTAGCTTATGTAGTTCTCATAGTATTATCATTTAGTTGGCAATTTTGAAATGATCAGGTACTGTCTCTGAACAGGAAGAAAGAGAACTGTGATGACTCTTTGTTTTTGTTTTTCTTTGACAAAAGCTGCTTTAAGTTTATTTCAAGGAGAATAAGCATCATTACTTTAATGACCTTCTATTAGGACAAGTGGTACAACTTATATATGGTCAATTAGTTGTTGATTGGTCAAATACTGTTGGTTACACACACAAGATGACAAGACCTTCATCCATTAAGTTTATTATTACCTGCCTATTATTAAAAATAATACTAAAATTTATTTGTTGATTGTGTTATGAAAATTAACTGGTTATGTTTAGTCAATTTCTTATCAAAAGAATACAAATGAGGCACCGACCAGGATTTTTAGTGTAAAATTCATGGCAGGTTGTTTCTGAGAATATTTATGAGAAATAATAAAACTCCTGATTAAAGGAATAAAGCACTTGAAACCAGCCAAGAAAAATAATTGAGCTTTGCTGGACAATTTCAAGGAAGTCTCCAAGCAGAGTTTTGGAAATTTCAAAACAATTGTTGTATAAATTATGCTATGAATATTTTATATTAAATAGGATAATTTTTATGTTTTTCTTATTCCGATACATTCAGCCTGAATCGTACCACGAATGTTTTACTTTTATTTCAAACAGATGCATGTCCCTGTCTTTCATTTCATATTAAATGTTGTTGTTGTTGTTGTTGTTGTTGTTGTTGTTGTTGTTGTTGTTGTTGTTGTTGTTGTTGTTGTTAAACACTATTTTAATTAAATTACCTGTAGAGAAATTGCATTTCCTGCGAAAATGCAGTGCGAATGCTTATTGCTGAAGAACTTACCAAAAAATAACTGCTGAAATTAGCTTAAAAAAAAGAAACAAACATGCTGAATTGTGGCTGAAATTAAAGAAAAGGCCTTAATTAACAGAAGAAAGCAAAAAAAAAAAACATTTTTTTGTTGAATTACGTACAGATTAGCTGAAATTAGCACAAGCTGAAATTAGCACAATTATAGGAAATTAGCTAAAAAAAATTTAAATTAGCAAAAAAAAAAAAAATGGCTGAAAAGGCTGAAAGAAGGAAAGCGCTAAAATGAGCTTAAAAATGTGGAAATAGCTGAAAAGGCTAAAATAAGCATAACACAGCTAAATAGTAGCTGAAATATCAGAAAAAGCTGAAACTAGCAACAAAACACAAAAAGCTGAAAGGAGCATGAAATTAGTAGAAAGAAGTTAATTAGGCTAAAATTAGCAGAACTTACACTGATCTGAAAACAGCTGAAATTAGCTAAAATTGTTAAAAGGTAGCTGAAAAGGTAGAACAAGCTGAAGAAAGAAGCAGAAATTAGAACAAAAAAAGTAGAAATGATCTGAAATGAGCAAAAAACAGCTGAAAAGAAGCTTAAATTACCAGAAAGAAGTGGAGAGAACATTTTCGCTGAATTAGGCTTAAAAAGTTGAAATGAGTGCAAAAAATGTGGAATTACCTGAAAAAGCTAAAATTAGCATTAGCACAGCTAAATAGTAGCTGAAATATCAGGAAAAAGTTGAAACTAGCAACAAAACACAAAAAGCTGAAAGGAGCATGAAATTAGTAGAAAGAAGTTAATTACGCTAAAATTAGCAGAACTTACCATGAAAAACTTGCACAGATCTGAAAACAGCTGAAATTAGCTAAAATGCTTAAAAGGTAGCTGAAAAGGTAGAACAAGCTGAAGAAAGAACACGTTTGCCCAATTAGGATGAAAGAAGCAGAAATTAGAACAAACAAAGTGGAAATGATCTAAAATGAGCAAAAAACAGCTGAAGAGCAGCTAAAAAAATCAGAAGCTTAAATTACCAGAAAGAAGTGGAGAGAACATGTTTGCTGAATTAGGCTTAAAAAGTTGAAATGAGTGCAAAAAAATGTGGAATTACCTGAAAAAGCTAAAATTGGCATTAACACAGCTAAATAGTAGCTGAAATAGCAAAAAAAGCTGAAACTTTCAGAAATGAGCTGAAAACAGCAGAACAAGCTGAAATTGGCAGAAAGAATTAGAAGTACAAAAAACGTAGTTAGCAGAAAGGATCTAAAAGGAGCACAAAACAGCTGAAAGTAGCTGAAAACAGTTTAAATTTACACAAGGAAGCTGAAAGCAGCTGAAGCAGAACAAAATGTGAAAGGAGCAGTAAAAGGTTGTAAACACATCTAAAAAGATATGAAGGATGTAAAATGAGCTCAATTCATTTTCTATGGGGAATAAAATGTCAGAAAAGGCTAAATATTTTAAAGGCTAAAGTTGCACCAATACTGAAAGTCACAGCAGGAAAGAGCTGAATGTTTTGATTTGTGATTTGTTGAACTCGTTTGAAAACTGCGGGACGAGAATTGCACCAAATAACACGTGGAAGAAAAATGGATCAACAAGTTTGTTTCCTCCACCCATAATTCAATGAATGGTCAATCACACCTTCACTGCACCGGCATTCAGCAGTTTTCCAACAATACCTGTTCAGCCTGCTTGACCTGCCTGGTGGCTCTGGCCCCGCCCATCTTCCTTTTTACTTTTTTCTCCTCTCACCTGAGACTCAACATCTTCCTCCTGTGAATCCAGGTGACACTCTGCTTCCTTCGTCTCTGGCTTGTTGTTTGTCCCCCAGCTGCTTGGAGTTTCTGGAAGTTTCCGCTGACCGTTTTAAATCGTCCTTGGATCTTTTTTTAATTGCGTTCGACAGCATCATCATGAGTAGCAAGCTGTGGACGGAAGAGCAGTTCAACTGCCCCGTGTGTCTCGATCTGCCAAATGATCCGGTCACCATCCCCTGTGGGCACAGCTACTGCATGGCCTGCATCCAGGACTTCTGGACTAAGGATGACCCCAAAGGGATCTACAGCTGCCCCCAGTGCCGCCAGACCTTCTGTCCCAAGCCCTCGCTGTCTAGAAACACCATGCTGGCTGAAGCTGTGGAGCAGCTCCGCAAAGGATCCCACAAATCAGAAGTGCGAGACTCTATCCGGAGTGCCCGTGGGGGGGTCTCGAGATACAAAGACGCACTGCCTACCTCAGTGGTGCTGTGCGACATGTGCAAAGGGGAGCAACGTGCCGCCTTAAAGAGCTGCCTTGTGTGTATGAGCTCCTTCTGTGACGTCCATCTGAAGCCGCACCAGACCAAGAAGTCCCTCAAAGCCCACGAGCTTATCCCACCCACGAGCAACCTAGCTGAGAAGATCTGCACCCAGCACAAGTACCTGCAGGAGTTCTTCTGTCGTCAGTGCAAGATGTACGTCTGTTGGCTCTGCACAAGCAACCAGCATAAAGACCATGGGTGCGTGTCCACCAAGGCTGAGCGACTAGAGAGACAGGTAAAGGATGGATGGTACTAGATGAAAGGGGAGATGGCCCCATTCATTCAACCTTTATTTATACATAGTCTCATTGAGTCACGAGGACTCGTTTTCAAGAGACCCCAGAAGGTGGTTATTGTGAGGAACTCTTATCTGATTTTATATCAAACAAACTTTGGGAACTATACCGTAAGGTGTCCAGCGTTGTATCAAACAGCGTTTTGTCTAAGGTTCCCTCTTTTTTTGTTTCACAAAGGCACTAAATCCAGGCAGAAAACATTCCTAACTACATTCCTGCTCGTTCACTCGGCTCCTCCTCAGCACGCTGCCTTCTGCGTTACTGTCCTACGCCTGCCTGTTCATGACGTGTCTTGGTATGTCTTTCTGCAGAAGGTGCTGTCTGACATCCAGGGAGATAATCAACAGAAGCTAAAGACCCGAGAGCAGGAGCTGAAGGACATGAAGAAGATGATGGACGGGGTGAAGGTTGGTCCTCAGGGGAGTTGTACCTCTTGGTGGTTGCAATAAGTCTGACAAATGACGCCATGTAGAAAAGAGAGCCCATTTTATTTCATATCTAGAGTTCAATCTAATCTAAAGGAGATCTAATCCTAAGTGTCACCATGTCGTCCTTTATTACACAAAATTAAACTAAAATGAAAAACTGTGGAAAACCTACATCAACCGATGGTTGTGGAGTCATTTTCGCATGCCCTTTATATTTGTCACGACTCCTTCCGTTCAATAAGATGTGTGGTCGTTCGAATACCAATAGCACAATCTGGACTTTGACTGGACCGCTGCTCAGTTTATTCATTTTTTGCCACTTTCCCACAATTTTTAGACATGTCATCCGGACAGTTTCTTTTTTTTTTCCTGAAACGTTTCACCTTCTATCCAGAAGGCTTCATCAGTCAAGGAAACGCACAACACAAAACTGATTCTTCTCCCAAACAGCTTACTCCCAAAGTGGAACAAACCAGTCATGTTGGTGCCAAGATGGTGTCCCTGGCA